GAGAGCTTCATTTGGAAAAGAGATAACGACTCTCAGTCACCCCCAGGGCAGCTGACAGAGTTTATGAGGTGATTTCATAACGAGAGGGGATGCACTGCCCTGTGTCAGAGCCTGGCTGTGGGGGAGAGGCCCCTGCTCTGTGCCAGGGCATTTCGAGGCAGAAAGACAAAACTCAGGAACACTTCCACGATGTGTTGCTGTGCAGATGAGCCCAGCACTCCCCTCTACCCAACACAGATAAGGGGTCTGCTGTGACATCCATCCTTTCTGGGTTACAGTGGTGGGCTTCTGTCTTACTTCCTGCAGAGGCTGGGGGAATCCAGAAGGAAGTTTATGAGAAGTGGTATCTCCTGGGAGGAGCAAAAAGCTCAGCCATTTCCCATCCTCCCAGATTCCTCCAATCTTACAAGCTCACACACAGCCCTGTGAGACCAGCACTCAGCCAAATATCTCCAGAGCTAAACAGGCACTTCTGTTTTCTGCTCGGCATCTCTTTTGTAGCACCTGAGTTCTGTTTGGCATTTCAGCACAGACCCAGTTCAGGCTGCAACCAAAATGCCACGATACCACTGCTGACAGCAGCCACAACATTTTTCTCATTCCACACCAACCCCCTCTTATTTATCTCCAGGCATGACAGACCAGCACAGTAACTGCTGGTAGCAATGTACAAGGGAGGAGAATTCCTACAGCAACATCCAAACAGCTTATCTGACTTATGTACGACAAATATTTGGCACAATACATCCTTACATTATCAGTAGGATAATCTTTCCTACTCTCCCTATGGCTAGAGGCATCACAAGCATCAAACACATCAGGGATACGTGATGTTACCCCAGATAGATTTTGCAGCAGTGCATTTCCATGTAAGGTGCATATTATGTCAGTGGATTAAGAGATAAACATTCAGTTTTCCAGGTTTTATCAACTATTTCTGAGAGTTAGATGATAAAAAACTGAAATTACCTTTTTCTATTGGTAGTAGGAAATTTTAATCTACAGTTTCCAACACTGTAATTTACACAGAAATGATTAAAAAGCAGTAAGAAGGAAAAATTTCTTCTCCTTGTATCATCAAGAGAGGGCAAAACCACCCATATGGGCACCCTTTAGTTCCAAGGTTACAAGCCACCTTTTCCATAATAACTTGTACACACTGCCAGCAAATTAGAAAATTCCATATGCAGTATCAGTTGAGACAGGGAATTAGCTACTTCCTCACGCAGGAGTGCTGCTTCCACGTCGACTTACCGTAAGCCTCCCAACACCAGCCAGAAAGGATTTGGAGGAACACGAAAACCTCAGCAGATAAAGTCTACACATCTGCTCTTGATCCAGCTTAAAGACAGTAAAATGCCAAGTGGCCAAAGATTTAAGACAGAACATGGCTACACATTCAAAACGCCTCCAAAGCCGGAGTTACGCGTTCCCCAGGGGGTTGCACTTTCACTTTCCTAAATTGCCTGCATATTTGCTTTTTTCTGATGGCAGATTAGGAACCCTGCATTTCCTTAAACCGCCAGCTTTGGGCCAAGACACACACGCCCTGCCTGGAGCTCTGCCAGCCCACACTCGCACAGCCAGATCTGGAGAACCACGTTCCAACGTGAGCTGCTCCGAGGGGAGCCCAGGAGCAGCTGCCGGTCGGTGACTGCCAGGCACTCACACAGACCCAGCTCTCCCAGGCCACTCGGGCTTTTCCACAGATACAAAAGCACAAAATTAAAGAACTTCAGAGGGGGCAATGCAAGTGTGGCAGCGCCACAGTTCATCCCGGTGAACAGCCATTTCAGGGTTTAAATGTGCATGAAATGAGTGAGCAATTCATTTCCTGCACAAGAAAGGAGTGCAGAGTTTGGTATCACGAGCCCTGCCAAGATGTATAAGCATATTACATGTCCCAGGATAAGCGGTGTTCCTCTTACAGCCTCAGCTTCCAGAATCCCACAATGGTAACACGGCACTCCTCCCTGGCACTCTGTCAGCCCCAGAGCCCTCATCACAAGGACAGTCCCCTCCCTACAGGCACACAACCTTCTTTTTACAGAATGGGGAGATTTGGGAAGAAGAGCAGAGCACCAGGTGTGCAGCAGAGGTGGGGAGACACCAGCCCTCCCTGCACTGCAGCTCAGGCATTTCCAGATCCTCCTGTTTGCAGAGGGAAGTCAGAGGAGCCAGGAGGCTCCAGGATGCAGATAATCCACCACCCTCACACAGGGCTTCTGCTACGGTGACCCACAGGTCAGCTCCAGAATCTTGACCCAAGCCCAAACCCAGGTCTGTTGATACAAAGAGGAACTGGAGAAATCCACATGCAATTCCAAATCCAAAACGGCCTCACATGCCCAAGTGGAGCAACCAGAGTAAGATCTAGCATGAAAAAAACCTCTGTCCATAGGGGACAATTAAGCAAATATTTTAAATATATGTTAAGGATAGAGGGAGAGGGAAGAGGTGAATTAACTCCAATAATTACAATCTCACAATTCTATGCTTAAAAAGGTTCCGTCAATCTGCAGCAATACCAGCAATATTCCAAGTTTTCTCTCCCTACAACAGTACAGCCAGACCCCATTTCCTCCTCACCCCCTCCACACATGAATAATAATTTTGATTTCCTCTTTTCAGTTTTATTGCTGGGGTTTTTTTGTCAGGAGGGCAGGGTCTGGCTGGGCTGTGCCTGGGGCTGCTGTGTAATTACAGCGTCAGCCTTCCCTGCTACCACGGAGCCGTTCGCCGTCGCCACGCAGGCGGCCGGGTCTCGTGGGGAGATGCTCAGTGTACTGCAACAAAGGACTTCCCCCCGTGTATTGTGCATGTGGCCCTGGAATACAGAACTCAGCATTCAGAGATAAAAGCCTTTAATTCAGAGACGCTTGACTCTCCCACTGCTGCAACGTTACAGCGCGCTGGCAGCGCTCAAATCGAGGTGCAGAATTTATCCTGTGCCAGTGGTGTAAAACGATGGGATAAGAGACTTTTATTTATTTTTTTTTTTGTGCTCAGGAATTTGATTCTCTCAGCTTTGAGCTGGTTTCCAGCACTAAATATAGCGAGGTGTTATGTTTTAATTTTTCCCTCTGTATAAGCGGGTTTTTTTAAATTGCATTTTCTTCCATTATCCATTTATCCGTCAATTCCCAAAATCATAGACATCCAATTTCTATGCCTGGCTGTCCTTCCAGCAAAGAACACAACCAGTAACAAAGCAACATTTTTACCAACCACCTTCTATTTTATTTTCTACCCGTCTGGTAGATTTGAAGGCTGGTAACATTTTATGTACCCCTCCGGAGAAGCTGTTCTTTAGAGAGTCTCCATCTTCTGTCCTTTCCTTGTTAAATTGCATTTGCCCATGACCCATACCACAGCTTCCACTTGGAAACATCTCTGCCCTCAGAGACAAACACGTATGTAACTAAATGATCAGCCCTAAAGCACACATTCTTAAAGGGAGAAATCTTTCCTGGAGAAAGAAATCTTCCTTCTTTTGTATCTGGATTAACATACATTGTTCACATTAGAACAAAAAATAAATAAATAAAAGGGGTTTTTTTCAGTCTTGTGCAAGGTTTTAAATATACATGCCTTAAATACGGCAGGAAATGAGCAGGGCCTTGGTTTGTACCCTGCAGATGACTCTTCAAATATATTAAAAATGCATCATTAATGCATTTTCAGTGTAAAGCAACCTGTCTCTGAGGATCCTGAGGGACTCCACGCCCCGAGGCCCCACCTGCAGCTGCTTCCGCGCCAGCTGGGAACTGAGATCTCCGTTTGCTGAACGGAACTGGAGCACGTAAAGACATTCGAAGCTCTCGGCACACGCCTCGGGCAGGGTTTTCAGGGGAGATCAACATGGAGCAGCAGAATAGCAGTGGTTTGCTAAGGAACATTTGAAAATCTGGCCCCGAGGACCTGCCCCCCACAGCCTGCGGAGCGCTGGGGCGAGGTCCGACAGGATGTACAAAAAGCTAAACGTTGGGCAAAATTGCAAAGCTGAGAACGGCACTTAAATGGCCTCACGTCCATGAAACAGATTCTGGCTCTCGGTGCTTTTGTATAACCTGCACAGCTCTAAGCCCCCTCCTCCTCTCCTTCTCAAGAGACGAGAATCAGAAAAAAACCCTACAGGTTGCCTACACAACACACAGCTGGGGTTTATGCCTACGTTTTCATCCAGGTATTGCCACGAGCCGCAAGGCACAAGGGGATGGACCGGGGTGTGTGACGATGCTGCAGTGAAAGGAACGAACCGCAGGTCTCAAACCGGGGAACGAAGCCGAACGCTGAGAATCATTCCCATCCTCTCATTCACGGTCGCACACCCCAAAAACCGGGGATGGCCAGATCCTCCAGCCCAACGCGTCCCTGTCCCCCGCGGCCGCACCAGCGCGGGACGCCCCCGGCGAGAAGCGCTGCCCGAGCTGCCGCCCCTCGCCCCGCTGCCGGCGGGCATGTGGGGGTGCGGCTGGGGAGGCTGGGGGTGCTCGAGGCTCCCCTCACGGCTGCTCCCCGGGAACGGGCCCGAGGGGGGCGGGAGGGGGGCTCGGCGGTGCCCCCCACCCCCGCCGTTACCTCCAGCCCCGGGCGGGGGGCGCGGTGCATGCGCAGCTGCCGCTGCCCTTCATTCATAAAAAAAAAAAAAAAAAAAAAAAAAAAAGGGGGGAAAAAAAAAAAAAAAAAAAAGGAGAAAAAAAAAAAAAACAACCCACCACACAAAACGCCGGGAGCCGCATCCGCGCTCCCCTCCAGCCCCCATTCATAAAAGGCAGCGGAGCATGCGCGCTGCCGCCGCGGTGCCCACCCATTCATAGAGTCGGGCGGCCGCGCGTGCGCAGGAGCGGCCGCTGCCCTCCCATTCATAAACTAGCCATTTTCCCAGGCAGGCGGCGGGCGCAGCGCCGCTGACAGCGCCGCGCTCGCAGCTCCTGCCCGCAGCTCCAGCCGCTCCTGCCAGCGTTCTCCCGGGGCTGGCCACCCCCCACACACCCCCCCCGCCCCTCGCCCGCTTCGCATTTGGGATTAGCTCGCCTATGGAGAGATGGTCTTAGCTGAATTATTTAAAGTAAGTACGAGATCGGCGCTTGCGAGCGGTTGTTAAAATGTTTTAAGTGGAAAAAGCCAAGCCGGCTCCCCGAGGGAAAATCCTGCGCTCGTTCTAGATGTGTTCGGCTGCTCCTTACAGATCACTGATCATGAGCATGTTTCTGGCTATGACTTTTCTAACAGTGATTATCTGTAATTATGTGCAGTGGAGAGCTGCCTGGTGCTTCCCAACCTAAAGGAGACTTGGCATTCTGGAGAAATATCCTGTTTCTTGCAGAATTTCCATTTGTGTCCCTGCGTCTCTGATTTATACCTCTTTTCTGCGTTCTCCCATCAACATCTGCATTTGCTGTACATATATGGCAGGCAGGTTTCACCACACTTGTGTCGGGTTTGTTTGCAGGGTTTTACAGCAGAATAAGGGTCTTTTTTCTGCTGATGGGGTGTCTTCTCCTTCATCCCTTCTTCCTTCCCCAGAAAGGAGCCTAAATACATGGTCACCTGGCCTGACAGGTCAGAATTGGATATTTCTTGCTTTGGAATATGAAAATGGATTATACGCATTTCCTCTCTTTTCCAAAGCCCTGTCTTGTTAGTGTCAAGTAGTTCTGAGCTGTCTCCATAATAGGACACTTCAGAGATCAGCCACTCGTGTGTCAAACCTTTCCTGCATGACCTTTGCTCTTCAGCATTTTATTTCATACAAGTCTTTTTTTCTTTTTTTGGCCTCAGTGCCTTATTCCATCACTGTTCTCTTCCCTGTCTTGCTGTACACTTGTTTAAAATCTGGATGGATGATGTATTTTAAAGGCTAGATGAGCAATAAAAATGTGTACCTGGAATAATTTCATATAATATATGAAACATATTATATGTGGAGGAAAAACCTGTCCTGGCTGCTCTTCTCTACCAACTGCGTAGCAAGATAAGCCAGGATTTTATTTTCTGGTACCAGTCCTGGCGTCACAGGAGAAAGACAAGCCTAGAGACGACATGTTCTGAAAATTCATTATCAGGAGGGGAATGGAAAAAACAGAAAGGGGCATATAAAAGGCACAAAAGTCTTAGAGGAAAGCGGGACTGGGAATGCAGACCTTGGAAATGGAAGTGCAAAATGAATATCAGTGTTAATCACAGGGAAAAAGGCTTCACTCTTTTTCTTCCAGTGACCAAGGGTCTGATTTCATGATTTAAATCTTTTATAGCCCAAAGTTTTTCCTTAAAGGGTGAAGGAGAGAAAGGAAAAGCATCCCTGCATTATCCAGAGTGGAAAAGGCATGTTCTAGATTGTTTAAAACTTCTCCAGCTACTGCCTTTCTTCCATACCATGCTAAGGGGAGAGTATGGCAAGAATCAGCTCAGAAATTGCTCTTTAATTGGGTAAAGAGAACCCCAGCTTTCCCAATATTAAAGCTTCCCCTCTCTCTCCCTTTATTTTGGGTGAAAGAATAAAGCTACAATTTGTGCACGGAATCACAATGATCCTGAGGACTGGCTTCCCCCTTCTCCATATAAAAATGAATGATAGCAGGAGGAGGGGTTGTTCTCAGTTATTGGAACCCCACTGGGGATGTCTCGTTGATAAATGTGCCGTTTTCCGTGGGCTACTGTGTTTTCTGTTGCTGGAAGGGACTCTATATTGGGATTATAAAATTAAAAGGACCATTTCTGAATACTGCAGTCCTTTTGAAATTCTCCGTGAGGTATGTGCAGGGGAGAAATTATTTGTTCTCCTCCCGAAACAGCAAAACAAAAGCTGTTTTCCTGGAATCATGACTAATTCCCAAATCACACTGGGAAATGCAACATCTCAAAGAGCAATTCCCACCCCCCACCTCCCCACTTCCCCCCAAAAAATCTAGTGAAGTAAAATGCACAACCCTTGCAACACTACAGTAATAATTAATTTGCAGTTCTGACAGTTTAAAAAAAAAAAAAAAGGCAAAAAACTCATTAATCATATTGCCATACAACTTTTCAAATTCAACCCAGTACTAAAAACTGCTTTTTTTATAGGCAAACAGTTGCACAAATGTTTGGGTTTTATCCCTTTTAAATGCAGTGCAATATATTTCCTTAAGAAAACACAAAATCCAACTAATGTGGTACTAATCCAACTAATATTTGGTACTATTAGCTTAATGCATCATATCTGAACTTAGTTTTCTGACCTTAAAAGAAATGTTCTTATCCAATAAAAACCTTTGACTAAGAAATTTGAGTGCCCAGGGATCTGAATGTTAGTGGGCCAAAATGTGCTTTATTCACTCGCACCATAGGAACAGACCAGCTGGACAGAGACAGCTTCTTGGAAGTCTACAGGTCTCATTTCCCAGCTCCTGAATTTCCATGCTCTGGCAAGAATTTAGTGTCTCGTTTTAAAAATGGCAGGTTTCCCTAATAAGCTTTCTAATTTTTTTTCCCCCCTTGTTGCTTGTAGAGAAAATTCTAGCTGGCCTTAGCTAGATAAGGCTGCTAAGGAGGGGAACAAAAAGAATGCATGTCAATATTTTGCTAATATTAATACACACTTTACAGGAAAAAAAGCTTCTTTCTTTTTTTTTCATTTTTTAAAGCTTTTACAGCTCAACTCAAAATCCAGACAGCCTAACTCAGTCTTAATGAACTCCAACCTTATGAATTATTCTTAATCCCACATTAAAAACATGTGCTTGCTGCAAGGTCTCCTTTAACTCCAAGTGTTGTCTCCCTCAATAAAAGCTTTTATTGAACCCTTTGACTTGCATCAGGAGCAGTGTGTCCCTTGTCACAAGAGGATGTCCTTAGTTCCAAACAAAGGCAATCACAGAATTTGTTCCTGTATCACCAGCTCTTCCTCTGCTGGGCCTCAGGAAACGAATCCTTTATTGATCACTTGGGTGGGAGGGAGCCCTGTCCCTCAGCTCCCTGTCCCTCACCATCCTGCCCCATCCCCAGTCCCTGCTCTGCCCCAACTCCAGCCCCAGCTGCCCTACTTGGTGCATCCACTCTCCAAAGCCCTGTAGATCTTCCCCTTGCTGGTACTTTTTGACAACAAGGGTTGCCCTGATGCCAGACACCCTGGCTTCGTTTCCAGTGCCCATCCTGGCTATTCCCTCATTTCCACACAGCTGTAGGGAGGAGCTGTGGATCGCTGCTGGGTCCTGGCCTCCAAGCACTGTGCGGAGCCAGCAAAGGGGTTTGTGCACTTCCCAAAGCTCAGGTGCAGCTATGACCAAGGTTCTAGAGAAGATTTTTAACCAAATCACACAAAGAGAGAGACTAGTCATGATCGTTCTGGTTTTGCACTGGTTACCATCAATTCTAAACTGTTTTGATTTGCACAGACCTTGAAATATATATGCCTGCCCTTGGAATTACACTGCTTCAAAGTATATTGTTTTCAATTATGCTAATTTCTTCTATTAAGACTAGATATTCTATTGCTTTTCTTGTTTTCTTCCTCTGGCACTACTGTTTCAGAAATTTGTGTGTCCCATACAGCAGAGAAAATAGATGGATTTCTGCAGTACATTTACTGCAGCTATTGCTGCCTGTATGTTAATGAGGTGACTGTAATGCCTCTTCCAGAGACTGTAATTCAGCTTTTTCATTGATAAAAGAATAATAGAATGGTTTGTGTTGGGAGGGACCTTAAAGCTCATCAAGTTCCACCCCCCTGCCATGGGCAGGGACACCTTCCACTACACTAGGTTGCTCCAAACCCTATCCAACCTGGCCTTGAACATTTCCGAGGATTAGGCAGCCACAGCTGCCCTGGGCAACCTGTGCCTCAGCCCCCTCACAGGGAAGAATTTCTTCCTGATATCTAATCTAGGTCTAGTATCATAGTAACCAAGAGGAGGTGTGATCTGGCTGTTAGGTACCAAGACTCAGCTCTGAGGTCTGACCCACCATCACTGACCCAAATGAGCAGCTCTGGCCTTACCACCATCCCAGTGCAGGGCTCCATCAAGCAGGGCTCAGCCTTTCACCAGTCCACGGTAACTTTTCTGTTCCTCCTTCACTAAAGCTTGTGATTCTTCAATAGTTGGAAAATTCTTGGAAACCTGTAATTGAAAATTCTTATTGAAGACTCAGTTTTGCTTTACTCTGCTTATGGTATGTTGGACTTGAGGATCTTAAAGGTCTTTTCCAACCCTAAGGATTCTGTGTTAAGAAGGCGGCTTGTTGCACACCACTATTCTCCATCCCCCCAGCACCACTATAACCATTATCATTGACAAGATATATAATGGTCCCAAAACTGACCACCACTGCCCTGGCAAAGGGCAGCACGGCACACCAGCAGGTTCAGCAGCTCCCTGATGTTACAGGGCACAGGTCCAGGCTCAAGAAAGGAGCCACCAGTGATGTTACAGGACATGGAGAGGACAATCCTGCACCAGCAACCCCAGGAGAAATCTTGGTTTGCTGAGGCAAACGGCTCTTCCCTGCCGCTGGTGCTGTTCAGACACAACAGAAGGGATGGGGTGCACACGAGGTGTAATTAAGATGTAATTAATTAGAAAGAGATCAAGTGGCCCCTGATCTGGTGCTTACAGCTTGTCCAAGGACAGAAGGGATTTTGGTGGCTGCATCACTTCCCTGACCGTACTGGTGGTCTCTCTCTCAGCAAACGCTCATCAGGCAGCACATTTGGGGCTTTTGGGGTTTTTTTTCCCTACGACATTTAAGGTTCACTTTAGACATTTGCATGTCAACATCTCATGTTGAAATTCCCCACATCTTTAACAAAAAAGGGTTGGTTAAAACTGTGGTGCCTTTTGCCTGGTGCTGGGTGGAGAGGAGGTGGTTGTGGAAGCTCATTTTCCCATTTTCCTGTTGGCTTCACTGTGGGCACTGAGGTGTCAATCACAGCAGCCAGGTTGTCCAGGATTGCTTCCACATGGGACCCACCTCTGGACTTGAGTCCCTCATTCTCATGATTCTTTTGTTACCACAAACATCTGGAATGTTCTTAAACACATGAGAAAGAACTTAATAAAATTAACTAATGGATAGTGGAGACAATTATAAACATTATAGATTTCTGCACTCATTGGATTTTTAAGTCAAGATCCGTTTTGTTTTTCAGTAACTGGGAGATGTGTTGTCCAACTCCATTTGAAAATAAAGGTCTTAGAACCTTATTGCTTCAAAAATTGTTCTGAAGACATTAATGAGAACGATCTGTCCTGGGGGTTTATATGAATTCTCATGGAATTGTCTACAAGGATGTAGCTTTCTCTAAAGTTATGTAGGCAAGTCAAAAAACCTATTAAAACATAAGAAGCCCTTTGTTTTAATTTCATATGATTAAAGAATCTTACAAAACTTTCAAGTCTGAAATAATACCAAAACACTTTACAATAATAGTTTCTTTCCTACAACTTTAGGACTTGTAATTACCCAGTACAACAGTAATTTTAAATTGGCAATATCTTGATGAAGAGATGAAACAAACACTGCAGCACGTGTATGAACTTGACTTTTGAGTCCAATTTTACTCCCTTGGAAGGAAGTATATTTTGACTTGAAAATTGTATGTGGTGAGTCCCTGGATGGCATGGGGGAAGAGAAATTTTTCTCTGCATGGGAGTTTGTTGACATGTCTGCTTTGAAAAGAACTTCATTGTTTCATCTACCTCTAAAGAATGAAAAATTACCAATGTAAGAACATGCTCTCGAATTTTTCTTCCTGTTGTCTACTTTAAGAAAAGTACCTGTACAATTGCAACCAGTGAGTCCATGCCTGTGTTAATGCTATATCTGTAATTACCAATGATGAAAAATTAATTCATTTTGTATTCAGTATGGCTTTTTTTTCTCAATTGAAATACAATTTACAGTCAGGCTGGACAAGTGCAGTGGGCAATAAAGGCACTGCACAAAGTTTCATAGCTTTTGCTATGTTACGGTGCTAAAGTATCTTAAATCTCCCATTCTACTTATTATCCCTTCTCTTTCTTTTTATCTCTTTATCTACAATTCTCTTTAGATGACACATCTTGTTATATTAAATCTATTCCATCTGAGCAATGAATTCAATATCTGCAAGCAATAGCCAGCTGCCCTTGCCATCGTGAACTTCAGTCCTTTCTTAGCACAGCCAAGGAGCCCCCTGAGCAGAAATGTTCTTCCCTGGGGGGGTTGACATTGGCAGTTCATCTCTAGTAACTTTCCCTGTCTTTGTGAGCCAGAGTGGCTCCTCAGGCAGCTTCAGGCACTCTAGTTGAAGAGAGAGGGAGATGGTCAGCCCAGCCTGTTCTTTCTTCCCTCCCAAACCAAGTGGCTCATGTTTGTCACCACTTCTATCCGGGGATGCTCCACACACAGTGTCCAGCTCCAGCCAGGTGCTCAATTAGGTCACTCCAATGTCTGACACGACACCAGCAACTACAAGACACCACTGACCACTCTGAACCCCTTCCTTGCTCAACTGCCTTCAGAGCAAGAAGCCCCAAGGTTATACCCCTTCAGCTCTTGCCCTTTTTCAAGGTCCAAAGTTCTGCCAGGTCACCCCAAACATTACCAGGGTTGCTGTTTGAGGCAACCTTGTCCTTGCTGGCAAACACCCCACCTGCATGGTGGTTCCTGGTTCCTGTGGGGGGAGGTGAAGGGAGTGGTGCCTTCCTTCTGGATACACAACAGCCAGAAAAGGTGAAGTTATGATGTCTTGCAGGATTGTCCACAGAAGTCACCAGGGCCCATGCAGGTTTCCAGGCAGGCACATCACAGCCTGTGAGACTCCACAGGAACTATCTGGCTTCTTGATTTGCTTCTGCTCCAGCACAAATCCTTAACCTGAGAACTTGACTGGATTCCTCTTCTTTGCCATGAGAGATGGAGCTCTGTGTGCCCAGTGCCCTTTGCTGAAATCTTTCCTTTCATGGGATGCAGATATAAGGCTCAAAGCACAAACAGCTGAGGGCAAGATGTGCCCATGGCACGTGCCAGTGGACACACACAGACAAAAACCTGAAGCAAACACACCATAAAATATGGCCATTGTTGTCATCTGGGCAGATCCCAGGGGAGAAAAACCTCCTTGCAGGATGAACACCACCCAGCTCACTGTCAAGTGCAGCATTTGAGGTGTTTGATCTGGATCTGTCACCAGTGATCTCATTGCACTGCTGGAATTTTTGGTGACAAGACCAGCAGCAGCAATGTAGCCATGGTCTTTAGAAAATTGCATAAATACCAGAAATATTTGGGAATATATGTCTGTTAAGAGTAGCTTGAAAGGGGAGAGCATTTAACTGTGGAAACCTTCCACAAAGGAGCAAGAGGGCAGGGCAGAAGTTGAAGGACCATGTGTCCAAGCACCAAAACCTAGTAGGATGCCTGCATCTGGTGTTTTAAGGCAGTCTTCAGCCAGAGACACACTGTGTCCAGAACAGGGCTCTGGGAATTGGGAGAACTGGGCCTTATTTGTCTGTCTTCACTCCAGAGGTTTTTATCCAAGTAGACCCTGTGCCCAGACACCTGCAGGGTCTTTGAGTTCACAGTGTCAGACTTTCCTTGCCCTTCAGAAATAGTTTGCTTGGTAAAAAGACAATTTGAAACTGTTTTGTAATGAAAAAAGTTGATTAATAACTTAACTTCTACCATTAAGTATCCTGAAGTGTGGTGTTCAGTACAGGGTCCCTCTCCTTTCTGTGGTAATTAACTCTGAAATCTTGATTAGCATTATCTCAGATAAGCCATCTTTAACGTCTGCCTGCATATGGCCATGTCTGTGTGCCGGGGGTTGGGTGTTTTAAGAGTGCCTGTGGCAATAATCCCTCTCCAGATTAATCTGGTGACATGACTTCCGTGTGATGGCATTGCTGGCTCTGGACCATCGCAGACTGGGTGATTACAGAGTTAACCTGAAGTCTAAATTCCAATTCCAAGGGTGTTGCTCTCCCATGCCAGGGCGAGGGACTCCCCACAGCGATGCAGAACAGCCTTAATGTGCCACCCTGGGGCAGAGGTGCTGTCCTGGGCACAACCAGGTCACTGCCTGGGCACAGCAGCTCTTCACACGTGTGCTGTCACACAGGGCACCTTAAAATAAATGATGCTCCGTGGATACAGCTGAAACCTGGTGAATGGAGCAGATTCCAGACAGTTGGTAACAAGTGGAAGTGAGCACAGAGCCCTTTGCTAGAGGCGATTTAAAAATTCTGGAGAGGCCACGAAGGCAGTGCTGGCAGGGACATGAAGGATCAGACAGGCTGGTAGCACTGTGCAGTGAGCCACCATTTCCTCCAGCTACCTTCCATCTAAGATCAGCTCTGCTGCACTTACTCTTGGCAGCCAAAACAGCTGCATCTTTCTCCTAAAAAAAAAAAAAAACAACCCCCAAAAAACCTGTGAAATCAAAATATCTCTGCAAATGTATCTGATACAGAACTGATGATTTTGCTAAACTCTGACTTGCAGCAAATACTTTTTAGATCATGACGCTGGATTCTGATGCACAAAAGAAAATCAAATTCTTTTCCCTCTGCGTGCCCCATAGTTGTCAGAATCATTGCTTCCTTTTGTTTTTTTACAAACAGTAACTAGGAATAGATGCTTTAAAAAAGTCTCTTGTTCCTCCAGTCAGGATGTCAACGAGCTATGAATAATGAAATAAAAAAAATTTCAAATGAATGGCTAAGACCCAGCAGAGAATTTTTAACTGGGGGAAGAGGAACAGCATAAGGGCTGCATGACAATAATGGTCGTTACTGCTCGATAAAGCACTTCTTCCTGCTGGTCTTGTGCAGGGGACAAAAGGAGCGCGGCAGGCCGGACGCGGTGCCGGCATCCCAAGGCGGCATGTGCCGTCCTGCCCACGCTCCGGCCCATCCGGCGTCAGCCCTCCCTCCCTGCCTCCTATTGATCCCGGCAGAAGCAGCACATTTTCAACCCCAAGCGCCAAGTGATCCATCAAAGCAAGGATCTGCAGATATAACAGCGGACCCTCGTAGCGTTTTTAAGTGGGTAAAAAAAAAGCGCTTCCCTTTCCCCTTCCAAAAATGCGGAATTTAGTTCACGCTCCAGTTTTTGAAGTGTTGTGTTAATTTTAGGGGGGACGTCCCCTTGCAGAAGTGCACACATTTACTCACACACACTCTTCTCATTTATAACTTGTTGTAGTTAGATGCAGTTTTTTCCTGATACGATTTCAGATTGCTGTGATAATAAAATCATAGAATCATTTCAGTTGGAAAAGACCTTTAGGATCAGCGAGTCCAGCTGTTAACCCAGCTCTGCCAAGTCCAAATCTTTCACGCTGTTGGAGAAGGTTAATTTGTTTGTTGAACACAAACAACTGACAATGACTTAAGCTGTTCGCTACTCTCTTTTTCTTGATACCAGCAGCTTTTCCCCTCCTGTGACTTGCTCTGAAGCTTTACTCACCCCTTCTTTCAACTGATCTCCAGCATTATATTATTTATGAATAAAGGTCACCCCGTGAGGAAATGGCACATCTACTAGAAAACAATGTGCACTTTCTAAATTTGAACCGAGTCGTTTCCGTTCTTTGATTTAAGTTTAGTTACTTCCTGTGGTTTCTTGTCCTACGCCGCTGCTGAATCTTTGGATCGACTCCAGGATAAATTGCACTCTTTCAATGAAATTAGAAACTGCGGCAATAGACGGCTCAGCCAGAGCGGCTGGTAAACAGCACTTCAGCTAAATATTAGCGCACTTAGTGGGCTGGAGAAGAGTGTCTCATTACCTGTGTGAGGTGATGGATCAAGCCAGACCCGTGTGGGTGCTCTTCTGGGTGCTGCACCATTGGCTCCCACCCTGGTTTGCCAGCGGACAAGATGCTGAGCAAGCGCTTCCACCTCCCGCGGGAGAGATGAAGGAGCCTTTGGAAGCAGCAGCTCCCAATGGAGATGGGACACTTCCTCACCAAAGCCAAGTCATCCTCCCACAGGCAGATTCTGGGTTAGCAAGGACAGGTGTTCAGCCCCACACTGCTGAAACACCTTCGTGCCCACCAATGCTCTCACGAGCCACAGTCTTGCATCGGGTTTTTTAGGGATCAGGTTCAGCTGGGGGAAACCCCCAAAGCTTAGATAAGTCATTTCAGGGAGTTTGCTGGCAAAACCACACGTGTATATACACCAGCAGCCCTCAGATGTGCTTTGCCTCAGCAAAACCCCTGAGTGGGCAGTTCGGGAGCCTGCTGTGACTGCAACCTTTCCAACACCAGAAGCCAAGGTTAGGGAGAGAAACACAGTAGCAAAGGAGGAGGGAGGCATTTTATACCTGGGCAGGTGCTCTGACACCCTTGGACTCAAGTTTAAGACTTTCTACATAACAACCAGCCTCAGTGAAGATCCCTGTTGGGCTGGACTTGCAGGACACCTCAATAACCGTGTGCTCCTTCTCTCTCCCCACCCCTTTTCTTTCTCCTTTCTTTCCCCCAGGATACTTAAGCACAGATTTTTCACGAGTAGCCAGAGTGCTTTCTCAATGGAGCCCCGGATCCCCCACAACATCACCGTCGTCCCCAACTCTGTGATGGTCCAGCCCCTGCTGGACAATCGGATCCCCTACGGGCGGCTGCAGCACCCGCTCACCATCCTGCCCATCGACCAGATGAAGACAACTCACATCGAGAACGACTACACCGACAATCCCACCGCCTCCCACCTGGCAGCCCAGAAGCGACCCCGAGCCCCCCATGAACTGGTCTTGACCAACCAGCACCTGCAGCGCTGTGAGCAGGATGTCACCCATCCCTGGATTTCGTTCAGCGGGCGCCCCAGCTCCATCAGCAGTAGCAGCAGCACATCCTCAGACCAAAGGCTGCTGGACCACATGGCCCCGGTGCCTGTGGCGGAGCAGTCCTCCCCCCGAGCGGTTCGCATTCAGCCCAAGGCGATTAACTGCAAACCCCTGGACCTGAAGGGACCCGTGTCTCCGGAACTGGACAAGCACTTTCTGCTGTGCGAGGCCTGCGGGAAATGCAAGTGTAAGGAGTGCGCGCTGCCCCGGACTCTGCCGTCGTGCTGGGTGTGCAACCAAGAGTGTCTCTGCTCGGCACAGAACCTGGTCAACTACTCCACCTGCATGTGTCTCGTCAAGGGCGTCTTCTACCACTGCACCAACGAGGACGACGAGGGCACCTGCGCCGACCACCCCTGTTCCTGCTCCCACTCAAACTGCTGTGCCCGCTGGTCCTTCATGAGCGCCCTGTCCCTGGTGCTCCCCTGCTTGCTCTGCTACCTGCCAGCCACCGGCTGCGTCAAGCTGTCCCAGAGATGCTACGACCAAGTGAGCCGGCCCGGATGCAGATGCAAAAACACAAACAGTGTCATTTGCAAGGCATTGCCAGAGAGCAAAGGGCCAGAAAAGCCCTTTTGATAGTTTGGGAGGACAGGGAGTGGGAGGAGGCTCCACGGAGCGAGCGAGGTGGTGTTTGTTCTTTCTAATAACCTGTGTTCTGAGGAGAACGTTAGCCTCTTGCCTTTGGAGAAAGCAGAAGCAACTATTTCCACGAACTGAAGCACTTTGGGTTATTCAGGGTTTCTGGAACTGGTCACAATTTAAATAGATGGGGCCAGAGGAGGAATGTTAATAATGCAGAGTGAAGGCTGAAAACCTACGTACATCATGAAGTACAGCTGCTTAAAATCTCCCGGTTTGGACGGACGGCTGCTCACGGTGCCTGTGCACCGCAGGAACCATTAACTGCTCGCTTGGCAGGCACGGCCGCACAAGCAATACCCATTCCCAGCTGCAGAAAGCTGCCTTGGATTCATATTCAGGGCGGGCTTCTTGTTTCCGCTTTCCTTCCAAACTCCAACTTGCTACCAGCAGCCTGCTGAAGGTGACGGGGTAACTCCCTCCACCTTCCTTCCCCTCCTGCACACCACTGGAAGGGCTGGTTGCACACACAGTACGTGTTTCTCAAGAGCTTTCTGCGTCCCTCAAAGATTTTTTGAACCAGAAGTGAAGACACATTTTGTTTGTTGCAGCGTCTTTTACCCTTTAGGCAAATCCCACCTGGCCACACTGATTTGGACCCTCTCTTTAAAGCAAGATGGTAGCCTGGCTGCTCCCTCCTGGGAGGAATAGCTGCAGGATGTGTTCAGGCAGTTGTATCAACACCGGGTCCTCCTGCCTGTAAGCTGATCCATAGCATCAGGTTTCACTCAATGGAATATGAATTTTCCATCAACAGTACAGACCCGCTCCAGGAGGATGTTTGCCAAATCCCATTTCTCCGAGGTGTGCGCTCGTTCCCCCGATGCCGGAGCAAAGGGAATCTTAACTCACACCACAGAGCAAAGATGGTCAGTGTTTGCCTCTCTAAACCTCTTAAGCTCTGGTAAGGAATCACAAAAACCGAAGTGTACAATGCACATAGGTGTATTTTTCTAGAGATCTCAATCCAGTACCTCCTCTCCTGGAACAAGCTCTTCTTTGCTCATTAAATATTAAGATTTTTATTTGGTTTTGTCTTAGGGATGAATGGCATTTGCTTGAAGTACAGCCCATTCCCCTATCCCTATTGCTGCTGCTGGACTTTTGCCTCCTCTGTACAGAAGTGTCTTTTTAAATGTAAAGAATGCTTTTTATGCTTATTTTAGTGTTAACACACACTAGGGAAAGCCAGGGGAGGGAAGAGAGCAAAGTTAACAAATGTGCCCGTGGTTTTCAGGATACAAATATCATTGGCTCTGTCCCTGCACTCATCCTAGGGCTGGTCCTGCCTTCTCTTAGGATGCAGTGACCCCCCTGAGGATGCCACAACCCCTCTCTTGACAACTACAAGGTGCTAAACAAAAATCTTTGTCCAAACATGCAACACTCTAATGGCTAGGTAGGTACTTGTTGCATGCAGAAAACTGATCTAGTCTCTTTGTGTGTTCTTAATTAGAGGAGATTTCCTCAGTAAATGCACAGCAGTGACAGTGAAATGTCATCTCTAATTAGATAAGCAATAGGCAGAGCTCATGTAGCATTTCCAGGAATCCCGTTGGCTTGGTTGCGATCCAGCCACCGTGAGGGGTTGGCAGGAGTGCACTGATGGGACTCTGGTGTCTTTGGTTTTCAGAATTCAGCTCACCTGGATGACTTGGGGTTTAGTTAAATTTAATTGTAGATATTTATTGAAGGGGAGATTTAAAAACAAAACAAAAAAAAAACCCCAACAAACTTTCTATATTTATAACATTAGCTTGTACGTGATAAATCACAGAAAAAGGGATATGATGTCTGTTCCCAGATAACAGTTCCTATAATTTAGCCTCATGTTAACTGTATGGGGACACCAGGAAGAAGGTGGGGATCCAGAGCTGTATTTATTATCTTGCACAAAGTGGAGGGGAAAAGACAACAGAAAAACCAACCTCAAACTAGCTGAACTGTTGGTTGAATGTATAAGGTATTATATTTAATAAGAGAAACCATTTTCCTAAGATGCAAACAGACCAGAAAACGCAGCAGGAGAGGTATTTACCTGCTGCCCTCCTCTGTTGGGACCACACGTGTCCAAATGGCCTCCACCCAAAGTTGTTTTGCTTTTTTGACCCTCTGTCCCTGGCTGTTCCTGTGGGATCTGTGCTGAAAATCCGCACTAGCAAAGCCCGTGGCTTGGCTTCACGGTCCTTGTGAGCAAAGACAACGCTGGAGTGGTCGCCACTGTGCCAATCTACACTCATGTACATACACCCAGCAATCCCAGACGGATTTCCTTTCATTGTACATAGCTGTAAACTATTTCTCTGTTGGTTTGTTTTAATATATAAGCCCTGTAAGCCGATCCCATGCTGGAAGGCTGTAAAGCATTAGTGGATGTGTTAGAGCAGTGGTCAATGTAGCAGAGCGACCCTCCCTGTTCTCCTCAGCCCCCAGACTCTGCTCCATCAGCTCCCAGCCCAAAGCGTGGCAAGAAGGTGCTGAGCCCTGTGTGGAGCACTCGGAAAGGGGCAGGCTCGGCCACAGCCGGGGCTCTGCCGGCGGGTACGGCTCCCGTCAATAATGTCTTTATTCCCCTTCCTCCCCCCACCCCAACACCTCCCCTTTGAAGGTACTTGGGTCTCCTGCCACCCTCGAGATGTCCTTTGGACACGGTGCCCTGTCACCTCAGCCCAGGGCGGGCACAGCGTGGCAGCTCTGCCATCCTCCCCGGGGCTGGGAGCCCCCTGCGAGCGGAGGGACGGCTGCTGCTCAGCACAAACCCCGGGCATGGCCTTGGCTCTCCAGCCACGTCACTGTGGTGGGCTGACCATGAAGGCAAGAGGGGAGTTGAGGGCAGGTTTTCCCCGGGACAGGCCCCGTGGCACCACAGCGTGGCACTGGGGGAGGATGGCAGGGCGCCTGCACTGCTAATTACTGCAGCACTGCTAATTGCTGCAGCAGGTTCATGCCGAGGTTTGTCCTCTGCCCACACACAACAGCCCAGAAAGCAAGAAGGGGTGACCTGACGGTGCTGGCAATGCCACACCACGACCCCAGCTGGAGCTCAGCACCAGCAGAGCAGTTTCAGCAGACAAATACACCCTCACTGCACCCACTGGGCACGAGGAACACCTACCAAATTTGTTGCTCCCCAGGCACCAGCTTTGCCACCCAGATGAGCCCTCACCCTTCCTCAGCACTGGGTATTCCCTTCCCCTCCCACGCTCAGACACGCTGAGAAATGTTTCCCCCTTCTCCTCTTACCACCCCACCACACGTACACCCTGAAACGTTACCACAGAAGGTTTTTCTTTGTATAGAATATTTATTTTGAAGCTCTATTTTAATAGTATTTATTTTAGAAAGTCTACTATTGTAAGAGTTCTTCTGTTTGTGAAGAAAAACAAGTACTGATGAATGTACTGATCTAGAAATTATATATATATATAAATATATATTGTTAAATATATAAATGGTTGTTGTGGTTCTTTAAAAAAAAAAAATCCCAAAGAACGTTTATAGCAATTATTCTAAAAATACAAAGTAAGAGTAGCACAGAATTGGTTATTTGATGCTCTCTAGACCTACCAAGGAACTGGGGGTGATGCTGGGATTGCTCTGCCCCACGACCTGGCATATTAGGGGCTCATCCAATTATCCCACAAATCACCTGCCAGAGCCAGCTCCTCAGTGAGGGGGAAATACCCTTCTCTGTCCACTTGTAGGATTAATTTCTTCCTTCCCTCCACCTCTTAAATATGTCAGAAAGACTTGCCTGGAAGTCAGGCTGCTTCTTGCACAGGGCTAAAGCTCAACCCTCAGTGTGAAAATTTGGGCTGACATTAAAGAAAACCAACCCCAAAATCAGCAGCCCCACCATACAGAGGGATTTTGCCGACCCCCATCCAACAGAGCCTCCCCTTAATGTTTCAAACCTGTTCCCTGCTTCGCCTTTCCAGGAGCAGAGCCTGTGCTGTTTGCACACGGAGCGGTTGGTGATGGGCTCTGCTCCAGCACCACCACCACACCCACAGAGTGAGCAAACGGGATGGGGATGGAGATCAGGGGAAGGCTGGGAGGGCTCCCCTCCCCACACTGCCTTCTCCTGTGCTCCTCTGGTTGTTAACACAAGTAGTGGCTTCCAACAGGTATAATTTCCACCATTTATGAGTCTCCAGGACAGGAGGGGACCTCCAGGCTTTACAGACATTTGGGCTGCCTGCACACCCCACAGCAGCACATCCCCACCCAGCCCTGCCACCCCCAACAAGGAAACAGAGGGGACCAAACCCCTCCTCGGTTCCCCAGGTCATCAGAAACTCTCCCTGTGCTGACACCAGTGTTGTCTCTCTACAGACACAGCCATGACCCAAATTCCTCTGGGGGAGGGCAAGGGGTGTCAGGGTGTGAACCCCAGCCCCGTTTACCAGCAGCACAGAGCAGGACATGGTAGCCAGACCGAGCACACAGAGCACCAAGGACACTGTGAACACAAACAGCCACTCACAGCCACATCACCAAAGAGTGGGGGATTGTTTCCTCTGCAGATATTTAATTTGAGAGGTAAGAAGTTGGAGCTGCTCCTACAGTACCATTTACCCTGGTGGGGCTGTGCTGCCCACACCAGAATGGGCACCTCTGGGGCCCTGGATGGATGCAGAGCATCCTCCAGCCCTGACCAGCCCACCCCAAGGTCCCTCTGAGACACCACACACCAGAGCAGCCAGAACTCTCTCAGCTCCTTGAAAAGGGTAAGAAGCTGTCAAGGTCCAACTCTCTGGGTTCCTGCTTGCCCTGCCCAGCCCTTGAGCCACATCCTGGGCCTCCCACCCACCAGCACCCTCCACCCTTCCTCCCCCCCCCCCGCCTTCGGCTGCTGCTGCCTCGTGTGTCGCCAGTATCACATTAGACTGCTAAAAATAAAGGATCCGGGTTATTTTTTCACCATTCCTGTTATTTATTTGCACGCACTGTGACTCACTGGAAGCGGTGCCATACTTTGTGTCATCACAGAGGTAACCTGAGCATGTCACCTGGCCTGAAATAATACTATTGAAACAATAATGTCTAGTTAATCACTGGATCAGATAAAGAGACAATAACTACACTGTGCAGATCACGCCTGATGCCAAAAGAGACAATAAGGAAAAGATACTGAATTTGTTCTTCTGGTGGTGGTTTTTCTTTTTTTCTTTTTTTTTTATTTTTTTTTTTTAACAAACAGGCTGAGCCAGGATGTGTAAATTTAAGTCAGAGTTTGGCAACACCGAATGATGTCTTGCATATAAAGCTTTAAAAATATCAACGTCTCTCTGCTGGAAGTGAACCAGAGCACTCTGGTTGATTTGACTAGTAGATGTTAAAGTAATATTTTTTCAATCAATCAGAATTATTAGCCTTTTTTTTAAATCCTTTTTTACAACATTTTCAATAATTGGCCATCAAAGGAAACCAACATCACAAGCACAGGTTATAGAATACCAAAGAGATGCAAAGAGCTAAGAGTACAACAAACTTTCCAGGTTCCAAACCAATCACAGCTCTTGGAGATCAGACCTAAAAGGGAATTTCTAGGGAATCCAAGCATCAAAAATACCCTTTAAGCAGCCTGTTAATTCTGAGAGAATAGGCTGAAACTTACAGAAATGAATGACCTGATCTAGCGGGTGGCATCCCCACCCATGGCAGGGGGTTGGAATGAGATGAACTTTAAGGTCCCTTCCAACTCAAACCACTCTGAGTCTATGAAATGAGATGAAAACTTTAAAGGAAACTGCAGAATTAGATTATTTTGCTCAAATATGTACTTAATAAACATGTAGAGATTTTCCCAAGGGTTTAAGAAATACCCTTGATGAGATGTGAGATTTGCCAGTGCTGCCAGCAGCTGCAGGAGGGTATGGGGAAAGCAAACAAGCAACACTGGGCAGAAGTTGCATCCACCCTCGAAGGCAAACACTGTGATAATAAGGCTTCACATGCAAAATAAATTTTAAACCAATTAAAATAAAATAAAACCTAATTTCTCCTTCCCTGACAGCACCCACGAGGTGGGTGTTTTGGCCAGAGAGCAGGACACATTCTTCCCTAGTGAGACGCCTCTGCAAGAGCAAGCAGAACAATAGACATGACAGGAGCCAGGGAAAGGCAGTAACGGCAGCAGGCAGTGATGCTCAACTCAAAAGCCTGGGCTCTGGCAGCTCAGGGTGAGCTCAGCACCCTGAGGAGGGACCCAGCAGGATGGGACCCCCCAGGTCATGTGCACAGCCCCACTGGCTCTCAACCCCCGGACCAAGGCACAACACATCCCCCACTCAGGGCTCAGCGATGCCCATAACACCAACCTGCCCAAGCTGCTCCAGTAAAGGGATTTTTTTTAACTCTTTGTAATGACACAAATGCTTTCACCACATGTGCACAGGTCCACAAATGGAGCCAGAGTGGGATTATTCAGTGCTGTTCCCCTTAGCAAGCACCTCTGCTGTTTACATGGAAAGCAGGTAAGGCATTCAAGGTCTGGTCTGTCTTTAACCAAAAAAAAAAAAAAAAAAAAAAAAAGGTTATTAAAACTCAGCAGATCTGTATCCACAATCATGCTGCTGATCCAGGGGCTTTCATTTCTTGAATTTCCAGGGGTGATGTTGGGGCAAGTGTGCTAAGGAGCTGCTGGAAGGCACAGGCAGGCTGCACTGCTCCCACACAAGTACCACTTACTTAGAGCCCCTTTCCCAGTGATAAATAATTTCTCTCACAGGGATTAGTGGTGTCTGAGTGTGGTAATGATGGCTAAACCAGGAGGGAGAGCCCCATGCCCCAGCCAGATGCAGAGCTGGCTCCTCCCAGGGACCCACAGGCCGGCACATGTCACCCAGGGATAAATTTTGGCCTCTTGTGAGCAGGAGACAAATGGCCAGGATAAATTGCCTTTGCACTTTGTTTTACTTCCTACTGACAATAACCTCCCATTGAGGCAGTGAATCACTGGGCTGCCCCTCTGGCCCCCAGCAAGCACCATAAAATTTAGGGATGTCCTCAAAGAGCTGGGAACAGCCACGACCCTTCAGAGGGCACCTGTGCTCCCACACTGAGTGGGCACTCCCTTTACAGGGAAATAAGGAGGTCAAGGCAAAGCCTTTGAGCTGGGAGAGGCAGCTCTCAGCCCTTCTCTTGCACCTCACACTAGTGCCAGGCTGAGACTCGACAGGCTTCAGGACAGAGCCATCCTAAAGAGACTCCAGGGACACCAGGTTTTGAGGCAGAAGAGGGAGGAAGGGGATTCACAGAAGTTTCTGACCCTGCCCAGGCCTCCCTGGACATCCAGCTTGGACACAACCCCTGCTGCTGCTGCTCAGGGGTTGTTATGGCGGGTAAGAAAACAATTAGCAGGCTAAGGTGTGACTGGAGGAGGTATTCTTCAAAAGATGCTTTTAAAAGTAAAAAACAAACCACGAACTTTGGGTCTCCCTGGTGTAAGTAGCTGCATTTATTCCACATGGGCTCAGCAGCCTCCAGCAGCAGCCTGAGCTGGATGAGGGCTCAGTACCCAAGGCTCA